TTTTTGAGTGTCTACGATAGGAAGTTTCTATATGTTCTTGAAAGATAATCTTCTTGCTACATGAGTACTACCAAGAGGTCAGACTGTTAGTTAAAGGAAGAAAAAAAAAAAGGGTGGTACCAGTAGTTCTGGCAAGTATAGAACATCTGACAACCTAGGGGCCTAGGCTGAGAGGAACAGGCTGGCTGGAGCTGAAGGTGGCTAGTTACAAGTACCAAAGAGAATAGGTAATCAAAATATTACCCAATGATATACGCAAGGTAGTACAGGCTAACTTAGGCAGGGGTGAAAGGGGGTACATCCTTCCACCGGGAAGTAATCAATGTCGTTCTTCGGGCCTTCATACCATAAGGAGGAGGAGCGTGGGTGAGTTATATTGTATTCTCTACTGATTTGCCGGTGGAATAGGAACCGGGCTGACGCTCCCCAGAATGGACAAGAAGCCAGAACCAAAAAAAAAAATGAAAAAAAAACCTTCCATCTCTAGGAACTTGCGAACCTGGTACACACAGGGTAATCGCAACAAAACTCAACTCACAGTGGAATGAAGATAAGAGACGGAACTGGAGGATCCCTACCGAAACTGGTACCACCTTCTCAAACCCCGAATCAACATAAACATGAGAGTTTGATTCACACCGAGGAGCAACAAAGTAACATCACCCACTGCAAAACAGGAAAGGGGGACCAAATTGATGGGGATCAAGCAATACAAAAGGACCAAGAACTCCCAATGGAAATTGACTTTCTGAAAGAGTTTTTTTTTACAGATCATATGGAGGCAAAAAAAACTCACATCAATGTGCTTTATTTTTTTGTAATGGGACATATGAAAGAAAACCCGGATTCTCTTACCAAGCTGCAAAATGAAATTCATAATGCAGCGAAATGGGTTATCTGCAACCTAAAGTTTATCCACCCACTAGGTAATTAAGAGTTTTGGGCCCCAATTAGAGAATAAATAATAATGATGCTCGCATATAGCAAGAGTCTGATGACGACACCACAGTTTGGGCTCCCAACGGAGAAAGATTGGCAGACGACTAGTAATATAATTTTACATATAGTGTCCATCAGACTGCACAAGCTACTTCACAACCCCTAAGCTCAGAGCAGTAATCCACAAGGGGTCATTACAGTAGGAAAGATTACAGACTTATATTTGATGACAAGCACGAAAAGGCATGTTGGGCTATTCAAGTTACTGCCGAACCAGCCTACACGGAAAAATACCTTTTGGACAAAAAACTGAGTCGAATGGCAATGACTCCAAAAAACAAAATGAAAAATAACAATGAAAAACCCAAAATTATGGACAGAAGCGGGAACACATGACTTCTCAGAGCCATTCAGAGAATATAGTCCCTCCCGTCTCTTCAAGACCATAAGGAGGTAAACTTACCAGACACAATTATAGAAGAGACTCAGACAGGGAGTAACAATACCCCTTACTTATAACAATAGATTCAAAAACCTGAGAAGATCATTATGGTACTAGACTCCCTCACAATCCCACGAGCGATGCACAGTAAGCAGGATCCTGACTGCAAAGAGAAATTAGAGGAGATTAAGGGACTCAGTCTGAGCAACAACCATTTCAGACTGACCTCCAGCAAGAGCTCTTCTACAGAGGATTCGTTCACGACAGATATACTGCCACTTTATGAGACACAGACCTCGAACAGTAATAATCAGACAACAATTAAAACTATATTACCGTGGTGGAAGAACAGAACAAAAAAGAAAGTAATAAAATATCTTAACTAATTGAGTGGGATGATGAACAGTCAGAGCCGAAATCGGGTAGAAATACACACAACACACTCAAAAAGAAGAAGTCACACACAACAAAAGTCAGACAAAATAGACATCAAAATTAGAAACAAGGGTTGAAACACAAACCCATTCACATGCTCATTCTGGTGAAGAGGACCCCTAAAACCATATTCGGGAGGAAAAATATATAAATTTGCCTTCACAAGACAATATTGTTGCCTTCACAAGACAATATTGCAATTGACCTGACAGAAGATACACATCAAGAAGAACAACTACAACACACATAAAAAAGGAATGACACCCCCCCAAACCTGCCATAATTAGAAAAGGCAAGTAAGAGACGGAAGCTCATAACAAGCTTGAATGTTGACCTGAGCTATCTGTTCCTCTCTAGACCTAGTATAACAATCATGTCGGTTAGACTCAAAAAAGAAACCTGAGAGGTGAGACTTTTAAAAACAGTAAGATCCCTTTATGGGAGAGTCACGGTACTGGAAACCAAATCCTCATACTAATCCCTCTCAAATATGATAGGCTGGTTAGCAGGCAAAACTCTTATTCGAGCAGACATAATCAGGTTCATAAATAAAAAAAGCTACCACAAGGGGGGTGGACCACCCTTACACTAAACGTTGAATACAAAAAAATGACCACTAGGGATGTATACACCAGATACAGAACAGGGGACACTATTAACTTAAAAATGGATGGGAGTTGAGTCATTGAAAAATATGCAACTGTTAAAGATTAAAGCAAATCAATTATTGACTAAAATAGATATGGCTACTCTTCTAATCCGAATAATGAAATTCGCATTCCTTAATAGGGGAGGGGCCTTAAACACAGGTATAAAAAAAAACATATAACAGACTCATCATCCATCTTCTGTATATACATATGAAAGCAGATCAGTTTGGTGAAGGTAAAACAAAAAGAAAAGAAGTAAATTTAATAGATTTAATTATAATAAAGTCAAAAATTGGAAGCTACTTAAACCACTAGTATCTTTGCCGTGTGAGAAAAATAGCGGGCCTCTGACCTTTTAAGAGACCGAAACGAAATGACGGTCGTCGATCAAATTTATTAATGGTAGCCATCGTCGGGTCCGACCTCCAAATTTTTAGGAGTTTGAAAAAACTGCCACTTTTTTTTTTTTTTTTCCAACATCGGCGGAGGTATTAGAGATCTAGATGCCAGATCCCTCAATGTTAATGGCTTAGCCTATGTTGGACAAAACAAGGGAGTGGATGATAAAGACTGACTAGATGTCATATGTGTACAAGAAACACACTTGAACAAGGACCAACACAACCACATTCACAAGTAGATCTGACCACACACAACCTACAGAGCACATGCTCCGAAGGTAGGCAGTGCAAGAGCGGCAATATAGATCCCCCCTGATTCAAAACTCGAAGTTGTTTACTGAGAAGCAAATCAACAGGAGGGAAAATTGGTCTATATCCTTGCGATGCCGGAGTTAGAAATAGTTAGTATCCTATGCGTCTACGGTTCCAACAATCCTGAGGAAAGACAAAAAAAATTATGAGGAATCCCTCCCCCAGCTGCCTATAGGCATTTTAGTCATCATTGCATGGTATTTCGAAACATCTCCATTTCACAGTATAAATAGATGAAACATCCCCTCCCCCTGCCCTGCTTACATTGAGACTGATGAAATAATTGTGTCAAACTTGTACCAAATGGCTAACCTCTTCGATTCCTTCAAAAAAATGAATCCATCATAAAACACATTTACCTGTTTTTGGAAAAATCAAAATAAAAAAATACTAAGTCAAGAATTGACCTCCTCTTGGTTTCAGGGGAACTACAAGGGACATTGCGGTTTGCAGGTAGTCTCCTTCACAACCTCTTTGCAAGACTTGACCATGCTATGTGCATGGTGGTGCTCTCATTCAAAAAGAAACCTAACAAAGGTAAATGTTACTAGAAACTCAATAGATCCCATCTCTTGGATGTAAATGCAATGAGTATTCTAAAGCGTTAGCCACACAAAGACATAAAGAGGAAGCTCAAATCTATAAAAAAATACATCACCTCCAACACATGGAATCTGCCATTTGTGGTCAACAATCATTGGATCCTATTGCTATAGAGATTCATGAATTGCAAAATCAACTTCTGAAACATATGCAATGTAGATTGCAAGGGATGAGGATTAGAGGGAAACTAAAAAAACAGCAGATGGAAGGGGAAATAATGCAAAATTCTTTACCATGACAAAAGCAAGAATAGATAGAACTACGATAGAAGCCCTGACTGACCCTTCAATACAAATGAACCACTTGCCACCTCAGCAATTGCAAGTACCAAAATTGCAAAAGAGTTCTTCAAAAGACTTTTCACATAAGAGAACAGTGACATCCCTTGGGATAGACACATACAAGAGATTAATGACTTCCTTCAACCAGTGAAAAAAATCATCTCTAAAAAGCAAAAAAAAACAAAACAAAAAAACTATCTCTAAGGAGGAAGTCTAGACCGTAGTAATGCTTATAAGGGAGGAGAAAGCTCCTGGGATAAACGACCTGCCGATAGGAGAAGCGGAGGACTGACGAGATTCCCCCACATACACGCACCTTCATTCTAACTGTACTGGATCGAAAAGATAGCTTGTATACATTCGTATCTCAAGATTCACAATAATGATGTTATTATTATTATTATTAATTATTATATTATTACTATTATATTATTATTATTATATTATTATTATTGCTTTTTTATTATTATTATTATTATTATTATTATTATTATTATTATTATTATTATTATTATTATTATTATTATTATTATTATTATTATTATTATTATTATTATTATTATTATTATCTAGGTTGCCCGATTGGATGTTCGGACCCCCCCTGACCGTCCGGAACCGTCTGGTCGGACAGTTGGGCGAACGTCCTCCTGGGGCCCTCCATCCGATCGGKGGGAAAAATGTGAGGGGCGCTTCTACGGGGGGGGGGAGGGGGCACCTTGAGGGTGGGACACGGGCAGGGCCGAAGCGGGGGGGAGCAAGGGAATTTTTTTCCGGCCTCGGAATCCGAAAACAAAAAAGACTCGATCTGGGCTGTCAGATCTTCGAGATCGACGACCCGGATCAAGCCGAATTCAAATTCGAATTCGGACCCGCTGCATCCATCCCTCGCGCGCGACTTCACCCTGCCCCATCGACAGAGTTCGGCGTTGCAGTTTAC